GGGGGGGCAAGTGTTTGGGGAAGCAAGGGGATCCCTAGAGCAGCTGCGTGGTCATGGGTGCGGTTGAAGTTGAGGTGCGTACAAAGTCCCCTGGGTGGGTGGGATCTATTCAGCCACGCGGCTGTAATTTTTACAGTACATCTGCAAGGTATGTAACGTTTTAACCATTTAACACATATGGAAAACCCAAGGCTCAGAGGTTGAGTAACTTTCTCACGGTCACGCAGTCATTGTAAGAACTGCAACTGGACCCAGGTGTTTGTGGCTCCATTGCCCAGGTCCGTCCCACTGCCCCATGTTGTCCCTGCATAGAACCCCCCAGCAGGTACCAAAGGCCATGCCCGCCTCCCCACCCCCAAGTCAAGGCCTAATTCTCTACGCACCTGAGCCAAGAACTTCCTTCTGCTAAAGGAGCCTCTGATACCGGGCTAGACCCAAGTCGCTTAATCACACATGGTCTCTTTCCTTTCAGACGCCGTTTCCCATGGAATATCATCCTGCTGACCCTCTTTGTAAGTCTAGAAGGGTTGAGGGAGGGTGTGGAGATGGTGTGAGAGAGAGAGAGTTGGTCCCAGGGAAGGGGCTGGGGACACCACTGTGGAAGATGTCCCTGGCTCTCTCCCCGACCCTAACCTGACCCATGGCATTGGTCTCATCACTGCCTCTTTCCTACTCAGTCACATTTGCCGCCCCCCCCCCCACCCCAGCTCTGGCAATCTACTGTGGCCATGCCTCCATGCCACCTTTCTCATGTGTTTCACTCTTGTCTCTGTCCTTCCCTCAGACTCTTGCCATGGGCTTCATGACGGGCACCATTTCCAGGTATATTCCAGGACAAACCACCGCACTCTTGTGAAGTGTCTGTTATGTGGGAGTGGGGCATCCCTGGGCTGGCAGTCATCTGCATGGGTGGATGCTGGGCAAGATCCTTCTAGAAGGGATTGTTTTGAAGTCATTCATACATGACTTATCTATCCCTTTGGCCTCTCTGAACTCCTTCTCCGCAGTGTGTATGAAACCAAAGCCGTCATCATTGCAATGATCATCACTGCCGTGGTGTCCATTTCGGTCACCATCTTCTGCTTCCAGACCAAGGTGAGGGTATGGAGGGCCCTTCCCTGGCCACCCCACCTCCTTTCTTCTATAAACCTGGCCCTCCAGGCTTGGCAGTTGAGCAGGACTGTGAGGGCCCAGACTCCTCTACACCAGGGATTTCCCTTGGAGAGTCTAGTCCCCTTCCCCTCCTGTCTGCAGCTATAAAACTGCTTCTTGTGTCTGTCCTTAGAACGTCATGGTTACGCCCAGGCCTTCCGAGAAGCAGCACTGGGACTCCCTGGAGGGGGAGGCAGGGCAGTCTAGCTGGGCTGCTAGTTGTGACACTTGTCTGACAGGTGCTTCCTCCTCCCTTCCTGGCAGGTGGACTTCACCTCGTGCACAGGCCTCTTCTGTGTCCTGGGAATTGTGATGATGGTGACTGGGATTGTCACCGCCATTGTGCTGTCCTTCAAATATGTGAGTGTCCTGGGAGAGCTGCGGTCCGCAAACCTAACATTCACAGGAGACTTCCGGTGTGAAGTGTTGCAGCACGCCCACGCCCCAGGCATCCGGGCAGGCTCTGACTTCTGGAAGCTCTCAGCTGGCTAGAAAAGGCACCAATGCTGGAGCACCATCCTTTGGTTAGGGTCGTCTCTGTTAGGAGATGGAAGGCCCTGGGCACCGTAGAGCCTGAAGCCCTGGATGACATTACAGAATTCC